AATTAGTGGGAGTTGTGTTCTCATTAATTTACGAAGAAGCAGTGGCTTTAGTATCATTCCCCATGGTGTTTTAAAAACTTCTTCTCTCGTTTAACCACTTGCCATGGTGAAGCACAGATTTTGCTCTCCACATTGCAATTTTTTTTTTATGATTCCTGGGATGAAATATGACACTTTCTGTTTTGTTTAGCAGAGAAACAGATAGGGAACATCTAAATAAAATTTATTGTTGAAGATTCCTTTTAGAAATTTCTGCAGCTTCACATTTTTTGCCAGCCTGACTAACAGAACTTTTCATTATGCTTTGTAAGCCAATTTTAATAAATGTTACACCATTGAACTCACAAGGAATTAAACTGCAGAGCTATGCTATTTTTTTATGGCGAAGTCACACATATAAGATTTTTTGAACAATAATATGAGCGAATTACACTTGATAATCATGAAGCATCAATACAGTTGAAAATTTTTAGATGATAATGGATATCAGCATCAATATAAATAGCATAGCTCCACATGGCAGATCTTTGGCTACAGCTGCATCTTAAACTGAACCAAAAAATAATGAGGGAAAGTGCCTTAATCACCCGTAAGAAATTACTTGATCAGACTTATTTGTTCATAATCTGAGAACTACCTGAGGTACAATAAAATTAATTACATTTTTGAAAACAAGAGAAAGAAACTCATATACACACCTACTTTCATTAAGGGGTGATGTGGGTCGAAAAATCGCGTTTTTTGCAAAAATTTCCACTTTTGAGATAAAAACACTTTTGATCATTCAACCATCATTTTCCCAAATGTCATAGCTGAACTCGAACAAGAAAGTGGTAAAAAATCGAACTGCCCTAGCGAAGATAGCTCCCGAAGTAGCGAATTCACGCATGCGACGGCTATTTTTGAAAATGTGCCACTCGGCAACACGATGACGTCCGCCATCGCGGTTTGTTCGGTGACATAGATCAAGCCTCCCTCTCATGTACAGGCGTCCCTCTAGTTTCGTATTTGGCGAGGAATTTCACAAAACAGTCGTTTCCAAGTCGGTTTTCAGCCCAGCTGCAGCCGCTTTGGGCATCTCTACTGGTCACATGGTACGCGAACGAGGCCGCCATTGGCTACATCTGATCGGCCTCGCTCACTGAGCGCTTCCGACAATCGGCACTTTCTGTGCGTTTCTACGTTTTTCTGAGACCACCAACCATGGATCACTCGAAGAAGCGAGAATTTTGAGCACGGAAGTTTGCAAGCAAGAACAAGTATTGAGGGCGTCGACAGAAGTCGAAGCGCAAAGCAGCGGTAGAAGAATGCGAGCCGCCGGCCACTAGGTCTAATCAAGGCAGCAGGGATACGGCGACTTGTGGAAACTTCTACGATATCAACACCACGATCAAGTTCATCAGCGCATCGGAAAAAAGATTGAACAGTTTCAGAGCGAGAGAACAAAGAGTGTTGGTGGTTCTGTGAGCGGAGTATTTTGTGACATGGGCACATTGACACCGATGGTAAGCAGTGTTGCTTGTCCAACATACCACACTGCTGGACTCGTCATTCGCGACACTGCAAGTGAACGTAAGGGCCTCTCTTCATTCCTCGATCTGTACTGTAATAACAGTGAATGTCTCGAGTCGGTGATTTCTTCCGCACACAGTTCGCGGCGTGTTGTGCCGGGAGGACAGCCCACCGATGCGGGTAATGACTGGAGCTACCATAGCGGCAGCTCGCGCGACAGCTTCGCCGTCAATGTGAAGGTAGTTGTGGCTGCGCGTGCAATAGGCATAAGGCACCAACAGCTGTCGCGTGTTTGCGCTATTATTGGACTGCCAATACCTATGCATCACAAGACATTTATTGCAATAGGCAAGAAAGTTCATGCTGCAGCTACCAAAGCTGTGCGAGAAAACCTGGCGAAGGCGAGGATGATAACTAAAGAGAAAGTGGATGGGGCTGATGTTGCTGTCATGTATGATGGCACATGGGAAAAGAGAAGGCACAAGAGTCACAATGGCATAGGCACTGCTGTGTCTGTGGACACTGGTTTGTGCCTAGATTTTGAACTGCTGTCGAATTACTGCCTCGCCTGTCGCCGGCACCAGGACTTGGGTGCTGAGGAAGAAATATGGCAAGCATTCCACACTCCTGTCGGCGAAAAAAATACAGAGCTCCTCTCATGCCATGGAGACTGAGGCTGCTTTGCGCATATGGGGCAGGACACTCTCATACACAACACCATTGCGCTTCACGAAGTTCCTCAGTGATGGGGACAGCAAAGCTTACACCGCTGTCAATGAGGCCAAGGTATATGGTGACGTCGTGGAAGAGGAGGAGTGCACAAACCAAGACACTGCTCTTCGGAAATTGACTACACGACTTCCACGAGGAGAAAAGCTGACAGATGGCACGTTTCTTAAGCTGCAGAACTATTACCGTATTGCAATCACAAACAACAGAGGTGATATTCTGAAAATGCATTGTGTCATCTGGGCCTTGTATTTCAATTCATCATCGAGCAAAACAGCAGGCAGCCATTGATACTGTCCAGAGGGGGCGACTTCCTGGTGCAAGCATAGGCGAGCCGAAGCCCTTGGGGAGGCCCCACCCGACAATCTTGACCAAGGCTCAGGGCTTAGCTGTGCTTCCCATTTACAAGCACATCACAGATGAAAAGTTGCTGGTACGCTGTATTCAAGGGAACACCCAAAACGCTGCAGAATCTTTGAACAGCAAAATCTGGTTCTTGTGTCCGAAGACGAAGTTTGCCTCCCGGACAACAGTGGAAACTGCAGCTGCTATGGACGTGCTGCGTTTAATAAAGGACATTCAAGCTTTGAACACTTGCTACAAGAGCTTGGTGTAGAGCGACCAGATCAACTGATCGCCCTGGGCCAATCCCGCGACCAGAGGAGAATCGAAAGAAAGTTTGCGTGTGAAACAGCCGAGGCAAGGGCTCATCGGCGCAACGTGGCGAAGAAAGCACGCCTTGGTGACTCCCTTCTCAAGCGCCGAGAAGGAAGTACATATGGAGCAGGACAATTTTGAATGCTCTAGCTGTGTCCCTTCTATGATCTCACCAAGTTTCGTGCAAATCACACTGTGTAATCATGAGTAAACATATTTATAACTTTCGAATGCATTTTTCTCAATTTCCGTTTTGAGGTAATTTTTTCATCTTGTGCACAATCTTTTTTACCCATAAAATAGCCTTATCTTGATTAAATTTTGCACAGAGCTTAATCAGCCACTCTAGAATACAAGTATCTACTGCAGGTTGCAATATAGATCACAGATATTTTGTTACACAACTTGATGCACTGATAGAGAGATGTAGCAACTCAATTCTTTACATGAGGTACTTTTTTGTATTGTACTGCTCAAGTGCAGCAAAATGAGCCATTCTGCGATTCTGTGTGAACATTTTTCGTAAGCTTTAATGTGTGCACAAGAAACCCTATATTTTGATATCAAAGTTCATGAGGTACTTTTTGTATTGTACTGCTCAAGTGCAGCAAAATGAGCCATTCTGCGATTCTGTGTGAATATTTTTAGTAAGCTTCAATGTGTGCACAAAAACCCTATATTTTGATACCAAAGTTGTAGTAACTCCGGAACTACTATAGCTATCAAAAATTAGCTATCAAAAAAATAATTATGGTTATGAAATCAGCACTGCAAGCTTTACTAACACCTCAAATTTCAAGGATCTGGGTCAAGAAATAAAAAAAAGCCTTTTTCGAGTAGCATCTCTCCTTAAAATATCTCTAATAATAGGTATTTCATTTTTAAGACCAGTGTCTCCCCTTTGATGAACGATGTGAGCATCTTTATTGTAATTTCGGCCATCGCTGTCTGCTCTAATGAGTCTCCACTGCAATCCCCACGTTTGCTCAATGGTTAACATTTTTTCTTCCTAAACTTGTTGTCTATGCACTCTTTGCATTTATTTGCAACTTTTCTTACAGTACTTTATAGCTTTGCATCTTGTAATGCCAAAATTGAATCATAAATGCCCTGATGGATTCTATAATTAATGCCAACAAATTCAGAACGATCTTGCAACATTTCGAAAGGCCCACCTAAGTACCACAAGAAACTAGTGCCCCACAACAGGGCAGTGCGTGAGACTACATGTGCTCAAGCTTTGGTGATGCAGAAAGCGTTGTTTTCAACTGGGCAAACCCGCGAGGAAGAATGAAATCACGTGGTTGCTTTGATCGTGTCCCACTCCGAAGAAAGAAGAGCATTCTTGGCCTAAATGACCAAAACCATCTTGAAAACAACTAGCTACCGAGCAAGAGGAGTCACGAACAATAGTCCTTGGCGTAGAAAAGACTCAAGCAAAGTGCTAAAAGATAAATCTACAGCTCAAAATTATTTCTTCCAGAGAGGATTTTGAGCAAAACGCAGAGACTAGAGTGCAGGAAGACGACACACCGCTGGAAACATTGGTAACATGGGCAGCTATGCTAGATTCGGCCAATGGGCCATAAATATTTGGAGAAAGTGGTAATATGGGTGGCCTTGCTAGAAGCGAGCAGATCATAAACTTTGGTGTGGGTAGACCTATCACATCCAAGGAAATGAACAGCAGAACCTTTTACAAAACTTGGTACTGCAAACAACCATGTTTGAAAGAACAAAACGACCTTTGTAATGCGGGCAGCTATGCTAGGCCCGAGCTAACACATGGTAAACTTTACAGAAACCGTGTTATGTGGGCAGATGTGTTATATCCAAAGAAATGAACCCTAAAGCTTCCTGGAAAGCTTGATAATGTCAGCAATTATATAAGACCCAAGCAAATGTAGCATAAAGCTTTCCAGAAACTTTAATTTGTATGCTGGTGCACTAGACCTGGACAAGTGGATCATATGGCTTCTCAGAAACTGTGGCAATGTGGGCAGATATATCCCCAAGCCAAATGTGGTGAGCAGGACCACATCAACTAGAACCGCAAAGCATGTCAAATAAGGTGAGCTGCGCACTCGTCCCTCGGGACCGACCTGTTCGGATGGCTTCTGCCTCGTTGACCTTCCACTGCTCTGCCACGTCATTCGCCAAGGGGTCGTCGGGGTTAGGAGCACTGAGCAAAGCTTGGATGGACAACAGCACCGTGCGGATCTGGAGTGCTGGGCTCCACTTGTCTGAAATAGGAACGGCGTGCACTCAATCAGCATCAGATGCACTCTTGCACATCGGATGAGGTGGCTGAGGAAACCAGGAAATGCAGTGCACTGCGTGCTTTAAGCTACATTTGTGTTTAAAACAAATGGCCCAAACATTTATGTGAATATTAATGAGCCTGCGTGGCTCTATTGGCTGGTAACCACTGTATGATAGGCTACTCGAGTCCAAGGAAGACTAAGATGATAAGCAAGAGAGAGAAGGGGAGGCAAGAATGAATGCAAATCCTCAGTTTCTTGCAATGCCTTCCGTATTCTGGCATGAGGTGGATGGCGTTCACCTGGCTACGAAGTTTTATTTTCTGTGCTAGTGTAGTGCTTTATAAAACGAACCCACATATAACGAAATATTGGTTATAACAAATCAAAATAAATGTAGATGAAGCTTTGTTATAATGAGGTTTGAGTGTATGTTCGTCATACTTGCGTTTATTGACACTCAATTGCCCCACTTGTCCATGTTGGGACATTCATGTCACGGCCAACATCTTACTGCCATCTTTCATTCCATTGCCATGCAGTGAAAACAACTCCAAGTTATTTTCTTCAAAGCGGTTAGTGAAATAAAGGAACCCCACTGAATTGAAAGAATGTTAGCACTTTACTCAGAAGAAGCTCTGCAAATTGAGCTAAAAGATGTGTTCTGCAATTTTGACACATTCTTCTCCTCAGTTTGGTCGCGAAAGAGTTAAGAGATAAAGATTTATCGCCACTGCCTAAAACTTTACATTTTGCTCAGCAGCGATGTCGGAATCTCTGACAAAACTTCCCAAGGCATTCAAGTTTCCATGTATCCTCATACAGACACATGTCTGTATGAGGATAGTCAATTATCTGAAACACTGTGCTTGACTTCATGAAAATTGTTGAGCACACTTGGATGAAACATTTATGCAAATCTTCTATTGTGCAATTTTGCAAATTTGATGAAGCTCACTTTGGGGGGGGGGGGGGGGGGGGGGGGTCTGTATCACAGTATATTTTTTCAGTTGCAAACATAATTGGCTATAATGCTTTGGTCCTTCAAACAGAGCCTTGGCTGCCTTCTCGAATCAGACTACAGCAGTAACATACCCTGTCCATTTCATTTTACAAACTGTGAATAATAAAAAATAGCAATATTGAAGGTGTAGGACCCCAGATGACTTGTCATGAGGCAGCTTGAGTGGACCGACTTCTTGACACCTCACGGGCGGCCAATCCGCTAATGCAGCTCAGCACAGCTTTCAAATAAGCGAAATCATAAGTTTCCTTTCAATCCTCGCATGCAAAATTACGAAGCAATACGGTTCTCACCTTTGAGTATGTCCAGACATATACGACCTAACTTGTCTATGTTGGGGTGGTAGATCTTTGTCATGAAGCGCACTTTGGGAGCAAGCATCGGGTACTCTTCAGGAAGAAACAGTTCCAATTTAAACACCCCTCCTTCAAACGGTGACTGCAAGAGAAACATGAATGATAGAGGAACCCAAGTGACTACAGAGACATGAAATGAGTCCAGCTTATAACTGAGGACATTGCCTCCTTTATTAATATGCCTGACGAATAGCAAGCGCCGCGCGGTGGCACTCGCGACTAACACTATCATCATGCCCTTTTTTATTGTGGCCCATAGGGGCGTAACAGTGGAGAGTTATTCGAGATCTGCAACTATACACAACCATTTCGTAGGCTATGCAAAATATTGAATAGTTGCACCCTTTGCCACAGGTGACGCTAGCGACTGACACTAATCCAAAAAGAAGAAAGGAAAGGGTATAGCAGCTGGTTTCTTTCTCATGCGGCAGGCATTTAGTCTAAGAAGCGATGCTCAGAAATGAACGGTGTCTAAAGGCAGTGGCAGTGACACGAGGGCAGGCACAATATATAGGGGCAGCTGATATCCTAGTGCAACCGCTGCAAACCTTGTGCATTTCTACAGTTAACAATATTAACTGCTGCGGTTTCTCAGCCAAGCCGTAGTGGTGGACTCTGGGCTGATTCAAAACTTTCCAGGGTTCTTCAACGTGTCTAAACCCAAGTCTTTCTTATACTGCAGAAAGGTTGCCGTTCCCGACATCTCCATAGTTTGTACAGCAGCAGCAATGCCCAGTCTGGTGACTTTGCCAGATGAAGATGTGCGAGAGTTTGTGTCGGACATGCATGATCGAAATTCGGTTCTTGTCTTTCTCACCGGCCCGTACAGGCAAGAAAGTTCAGCATATGTAGAATTGTTAAGATTCAAAGCACCACCACATGAACACGGCCGAACTTCAAGTTACCATATACCACTCTCGACTGGGAGAAAATTCTCCTTTAGTCCATCTATTCTCGAAGGGAGTACATCTGGGAAAATATGCTTTGAGAATTTGACTACCTTTTTAGAACTCTCCTGTGTGATGCACACAAGACTGCTTTAGAAAACACGGGTAGTACACTGTAACGTGCTCTTACATCAAGAAGAGACGAGCTGCTATACTACAGCACCAATGCGTGCTAAGGCTCGAGCGCCTTGCAAACCGGTCAGCACAAGGTGCGTGGAACACACGGCAGCACTGCAGACTTTCGGGAATCGCATTTCGAGATCCCTCGGTGCCACTCTTAAGACATATTTCTGACTAAGTTATTCATCTAGGCAAGTGATGGCCATATAAATTGGTTTAGGTTAGCCTACCGGGCTTGCATTTGTATGGCCACACTGACGGCAAATCTCACACAAATTACGACTAAAACTTCCATAAACCAACATCCTTGCACGTTTTCTTGGAGATTTCCTTGTTGAAGGGGCACTAAAGAGAAAGAATGACTTGGTTTGAATTGACAAAGTGCACTCTGAGAAATCTAATGCCACGTGTTTCACTATCACAAGTTCATTGTTAGCAGAAAAAATCAAGGGGTCGAACTTTCATTTTCGAGTTTCACGCCGAAATGTCCACGTGTGACGTTTGATATTTCAATACATATTTTCAGTATTTGAGTGGCATTGGCTCAATGAAATTTTCTGACACTTCGTATCCTAATTCTGTGGCACTCACAGATTACAATGTACTTCATTTTTATTGATTGGAAGCTTTGTAGGACTTGGCAGACGCCTTCAAAATTTCTTATGTCACGGTGTTTGGTGCGGGATCTCATGCTGGAGTCGCTGTCAGCATTTTCTTTTCGCACGTTTTTTCGCTTACCAAGCGTCGTGCCGCTGTAAGAGTGGTGTATTCGGGATTGTGAAATTGTACTTTACTACTACACGAAAAATCATTTTGCTCTTTAGTGTCCCTTTAATTTTTTCCCGTGGCTCTTCAAGAGAGTGCGAAAAATGAAACATGTTCAGCATTGGCTAAGTAAACACAAGTTATTCTGGGAGAACCGCACACACGTTACCAGCCCAAATGCATCAATCTACGTCATGGCATTACGGTGCACCGAGACCCCAATCAGGTCAAGCACGTGTTCAAAAAAACAAGAACACTGACGAAAAAGCCCGACCGTGAGACGTCGTTTCGACAGTTCCGCCACAACTGCCAAAAAATGCAGTCCCAGACTTTCCAAGAGGTGTCGCGCCTAGGAGTGGAGTGGGTCGCTTCTGCATTCTATGCAGCAGTGGACAGCCCCGTATTTCCACCCAAGTCGTCTAAACGTTTTGACGCGAACATAACCCACGGGGTTCCTAACATGGTGATAAAGAATACAGGACAATCCCAGCTGCATTTGCGAGAACAGAGAAAATATCGCAAACCGGTGTTCTGCCGTGGATACTGCATGAAGTAGCCTGAATCACACCCGTCTAGAGCTGTTATCTAGTTCAGTTTGGCTAGACTACCAAAAATGTGGAACAACGGGCATTCCTGTTTGACAGCAGATGACATTTCTCCAGTTGACTTCCAGGTGTATGACGTTGCCATAGAAACACGCTTATCGCCGCCAATAAAACACTCATCCCTACAAGAAGCGTATCGCGCAATCCTCAACTGCACAGCGCACGACGACAAACCCCGGCATCGCCTCGACCGAAACGACACGCAAGCTGTTACACTTCAAGCACGCAAAAGTTTACATAACCCGCGAACTTCGGCGAATGCAAACGGCTTGACATCAGGCACGTATTCTGACCAGTATATTCTGCATCGATCAGTTACCGTTGCGACACGTTTTCAATTGATTCGCGGCCAATCATGACGCCCGGACCTCACGAGTGACACCTCCGACAATAGTTCAGCAAAGGCAGATCGATAAGTTGCCCAATACCACACGCCCGGATCTTTACTGCGGTGGCAACAAAATTTGTTTACTGGCTAAACAATGCAAACGAAAGATCACTGCCGACGCTTGCCGCTCGCAGCCGATGAACGCTACGAGCGTTCTAGAATTTTCAACAAAATAAAATGGGTAAGCTCGTCCCTTTGCGAAAACGCTAAGAGGCCTTGAATATAAGGAGGCACAGTTTACGGGCTTCTGTTTACAAACTGACAACTATGGTTTGCTGCAAGGCATCGCCCCACTTCATTTTTTTCTTTTTCCCTTCGGGGAGGGGGAACGTCCGAACGGAGGTCAAGGTTTCGCAAGTATGACCGGCGTACTTACCCCTTCGGGACCGGCTACGACAACGTGAAAGTACCTCGCGTTCTGTTCGTCCGGAATTGCACTAATGCCGGGCACAGGTTCGGCCATGAGGCGCTGCGTTTCCTGCAAAGAAAGCGAAAGATGAGACGCCGTCAGAGAAGGGAAGACTGCACCTGCACGCGATCTCGCACCACCCGGCGACGAGCGGCTAAATGAAAACTGTCACACTAGAAAGTACACCAAGAGAGAAAAAAAAAAAAAAAAGCTAAGGGAAGCTTCCGACATTGGACCGTTCGCGGGACACGTAGCGATCGTTTCTAAAGCCTGGGGCGGAAAATGCTCGAATCTCGGCCGAGTAATTGCACTCCGCCCCACGACTACTTGCTTTCGGCTTTCGCACCGACGGTCGCCGAGCGTAGCCCCGCGACCTGCACTCGAAATCGTTAGGACGAACTCTCCAACGCACAGTTTTCCGGCAACGCTAGTCGAGACGGGACGTTTAGCGGCCCAAGTTCCCAAAAGCCGGCTGTGCCACCGCCGGTAAGGCCTAATGTCAACGTCATACAGGATGATGATGGATGGTAGCGCAGACAACGAACACGGACAAGAGTAGGCACATAGACACAACACAGCGCTATGTTGTGTCTATGTGCCTACTCTTGTCCGTGTTCGTTGTCTGCGCTACCATCCATCATCATGCAACCATACCAACAAGCCCAAATCGCCACCCTCATTGACGTCATACAGGACTCCATGGGGCACCGGCAGTTGGCGAGGCGACAGCGATCGCTCGGAGCGCGGCCTACGCCCGCTCGCCAATGGTTCCGGGCCTATTTACCTTGATGATTCTCCTCGGTAATCCGGACATTGTGCGGGAATTACTACGATTATTTTATCCAAGGATGGAACAAAGAAAGCACAGCGCCTAGCACACTCATACGGTGAACATCACCGCTGCTGCTGACACCCATGAGCCGCAACTCCGTACGTCGTCTTTATGTTCTTCTAGAAAACTGTTTATTTCTGGCTTTTCTGACACATTTCACAAAAATCACGCAAAGTTTAGTCGGCTCATTAAAAGTAACTTGCTGTTTTTATGATACTTCAAATATATAAAATCAAAACTGAAGACCACAATTAAAGTCGGCGTTAGACCGCCAGCCACCGTGACCACAAGTACATGTAGCAAATCTCAGAGGCTATGCTTTTGTGTCGTGTTCACTTGACGAATGTCATGTCATTCTACGAGAAGTGGGCGGTTCCCTTTGTGTGCACGCACTTCATGCTCTTTGCATTTAGCACTGGTAGTAATAACTATAATAACCGGGGAGAAACTGGATAGCTGTGGAGTGGTGGGTTGTGGACATGATTGCCACCTTGGAGGAAAGGAAGAACTAAGTATTTTTTATTCCCTCTATGAATGAGACGATGATGCCATTCTCAGAACAATAGCTAGATACAACGCAATAAAGTTGTCAGAATAACACAAAAAGCGGTGCAAGCAGAGAAGAAATTTTGCTTGAGTTTCCATCAGAACGAAACGAAATCTTTGAGGCTCACGAAGTATATTACAAGTGCGTTCATAGATTAATAGGTATTTCTTACACTACATCATTTAATTTTTTCAAGCACTAATCACTGCAATCGGAACTGGTATGGACTTCCTCTGTGATGCCAAAGCAACACTTTGGCCAAGTTTTTCACGCTTCACGCAATAGAGGGCGCTACAAAACCAAAGAGTGCTGCAGCCTCGCGCCATTGATTGCAGTGGCGCGTTTTCTTAAAAGTTACCTGTTTTTCACTTCAATCAAGCAATGAATTGTGATATCCATAGTTCTAGTCGAGCAACTTCAATTGTACTTTCCAGCTAGCTTTATCACCACAAAAAGAGTCGACGAGGTTAAAGTTCTCAGTACTATGTTCTATTTGTGGTTCAACAGGAGACAAATCAAACCAGACCCGGATGTACGCGTATGTAACCATTGCTTCGAGGCGTGGAGGAAGGATACATGCTTCAATGTGGACCGGGGGCACCCCCGTGTCCCGAAAGCCATGTTAGGCGCTCACATAGGGTAGGAAGGTGGGGGTGAGGGACTATGTAGCGACAGGTGTCCCTCACGCGTCTCCCCTCCCAACGTTCACCAACGTGTGCAGATGCGAAGGGAGAGGAGGGGGTTGTCCAGTTGTCTTGAATCTCGCGCACTCCACGTGAAATTTCTGGACACAGGCTGCTCCGGCGTTTGGCACCTCCACGCCAGTTGTTTCTTTCGTTCTGTTACATTATAGCAGGCCCGTAGCCAGCAGGGGCGCTGCCAGGGGAGAGGGAGTTGGGACTCTCCCCCCTACCGATATTTTTTTTTTTCAATTTTGCTTGCGTATATGCACACGAACACATACAAAAGGCACTGCGCCGTGCTCCCGACCAGGTTGCAGAAATTAAGTGCCTTTTCTCATCTTCTAACCACTACCACCACCACACATACAAAAGCACGCACAAACATATGGTTGAACCCTGGGCCCTCCCCCCAAAAAATTACTGGCTACGCCTCTGTTAGCCACATTTTTTTTTTCGCGTACTTGCTGCAGGCCTTGCTGCAGGCCTCGGCTTGTTCGGCAAAAGACATAGTTTGTTATTTATTCTTGGTAAGACTCCCACTCCATGAGAATTTCAGAAAGAGCGGGGGGGGGGGGCGGGGGGGGCGTGCCTTAGGACCCCGCTATAGCTGGCTTCGCTGTATCGCTCAGACAATCTCTTGGACTCGAATAAGTTCAATATAATAATGTCATTGGCCGTAAGAATCTGTGCCGTCATCATCATCCAACTCTTGGGTACATCGTTTGAAGGGAGAATAGCGGGGGGGGGGGGGGGCAATGCGATCAAAAACGAACTCTGTATCAGACAGGAACCCAAAATAATTCCACCACTCTTGCTATTAAAATTTGGGATTTTTTTTCCTGCAGCCGAAGATATGTCTGAACAGAAACGTAGCCAGTGACTGGGGAGGCGTGATGCTCAGAAATCTATACTTCGCGAATAGATCCTTGCCCCCTTACCAGATGTCTCTAAACATCCCTGAACCACGACTGACCTTTATCGCTCATAAGAACACTGAATTCTTTGGCGTACCCTTCCCTGATAAAGACATGAATCTGTTTCACAGTTTCTGATTACTCCAACGCCTCCTCTTCCCCACAAAAAAGTGAGAGACAAAAAGTGCGGGCTGCTTGTACTTCTAGTGGTACAAGGCTGGGCTAACAGCGTAGATTGTGACCGACCTAGAATGTTCGCCTAATGTTAATTAGAATTATTTTATTAGTGTGATCTTAATTAATATTATTCTAAGAATATATTGATTAGCATGGTCTTCATTAGCAAGATCTTCTATAAATAAATCATATTCTCTTTCACCTATCCAACCTGTTTCTCTGCTAATAATAACTGGCAGACAATAATCCCAGGCAAAGTAACAAGAGATGTTATAACTGATTGTTATATAAATGAGGAAAGTAATATGGACGAAAAAATAACTTGCCGCTGGCAGGAACCCAACCAGCCACCTTCGTATTACGTTTGTGATTCTCTACTAATCGAGTTACAATGGCAGTCTTCCCCTCGCCCCCTTCATTGGGTATATCTGGGCGCCTAAATGCGCCAATTCATGGCGGCGAGTTGCAAGTTCGATCCCTGTCGGCGACCATGAAGGAAATAGAAGAAACATTGGAGGCAGTACGCCTATACACTCGCGAAAAAAAAAAAAAAACATTTCTCGGCAATGAAGTTAATGCTACGGAGACAAATCGCGCGCATCCGACCGCCAACGAATTTAATTTCATAATGGAGTACGTATTTTCTGAGTAAGACGTAAAAGTTAGTCTTATTTTCCACATGCGGCTCTTTCGAGACAAAACGCAGCGCACGCTATAGTGAGATATATATTAGGTGCTGAGCTCCTTCAGGTCGAACCATGTGCTCTGTCCGTCGACGTGACACGCTATGAATATCCACATTGATATCCTGTGCATTCATATGGACATCGTCACACCATATGCGGATTTTTGATTGGTAAACAACTTTCCACGCGTGTTGTCACGTCTTTGCATGATCGAGTGGGGAATGTACGGGGGTTAATGATCCCCCCGAAGCTTCTTCCACTCGTCCTCACTCACTTCGTGTATGTGATTTTTTTTTTCGCTATATACCTTTTTCACCGTGTTTCTGGACGCGTGAAAAAAATACCGCCTTTTACTTGTACCTCAAAACGCTAAGCCACGTCTCCGTCGTACAGCAACGCTGATTGCGCGAAGCCATCATTTTCCATAGCGGTACGGGACGCCGGCCTAACCGGACTACTTCCGCGCAAGAATGTCTGTGCAGAGTCCACCATATTTGGTTGGCTCATGTGCAAATAATAATAATAATAATAATAATAAATAATAATAATAATAATAATAATAATAATAATAATAATAATCGACGAGAGAGCATGCAAATAGCGTCTATACAAGTCAAGTTCCCATGGTAGCCATGCCCCTCTTCCCTCTCGTTTTCCATAAGCCAGGCTCATTTCCCAGCATGCTTTTGTTTCATTTTTTTTTGTGTCTTGGCGCCAAAATTTCCACGTGACGCTCGCTCCCAGCGTTTTAGATGCGAAGCAGCTTATGGCCGAGTTCAATCCGGTGTGTATGACCGCCATTTAAGGCCGAACTATATGCAGCGTTTTTACAGGCGTTTTGTGGCGTTGCGTCTCTCGGCGTCATGACACGCACGCCGTCAGAGAGGTCGATCAAACCACGTGTAAAAAAATTGGCAGCATATCCACGGAGTGAATGATGGAAAGTGGGGCGAAGCATTCGTCCGTCCATTCGTTCTTGCTTCCGTCCGTCCATGCGTCCGTCTGTGTGAACGTCCACGCGTCCATCCGCCCGTCCGTGCGTGCGTCTGTTCGTGCGTCCGTCCCTGCGTTCGTCCATCCATCCGCCCCTGCGTCCGTTCATGCGTCCATTCATGCATCTGTCTGTGTGTTCGTTCGTCCATCTATTCAACACTCCAAGTACCACCATCTCGCATATTTTCATCATATATTCCCCGTATAGAAGCACCGCCATCCAGCGGCCATTCCAAGGACAAAACGGGAGGTGGCACACGCACACTTTCTTAGCGGGCTTGCGATTCGGGTCGACTTCCCACCTTTAAGCACCTCTAGTTCATGGTATATACTAGTTGACTGTATTCATGGCACTGCGGCCCAACGCTCGCTAAACCTTTCTAAAACCAAGGAGGTTACGCCCAGCGAGTATAACGTAGCAACCGTTTACTGTCAGATAGTGCTCAATGTACATGCCAATGGCTGCTAATGGGAAATGAGAGACAGGAGAATTCGGCTTTAACTTTCTTACGGCTTGCGCTTCGTATCTACTTCCCACCTTTAACCACCTCGAGTTCATTCGTGGTATATACTAGTTCATTGTATTGATGGCACTGCGGCTCAACGCTCGCTAAACCTTTCTAAAACTAAGGAGGTTACACCCAGCGAGTATAACGTAGCAACCCTTTCTTGTCAGATAGTACTCAATGTTCGGTTACACCCAGCGAGTATAACGTAGCAACCCTTTCTTGTCAGATAGTGCTCAATGTTCATGCCAATGGCTGCTAATGGGGATCGCAGCGTGCGCGTTAACTAAAAGCCGAATGCTCCTGTCTCTCATTCCCCTTAGAAGTCATTGGCATGTACATTAAGCACTATCTTTTATTGTTCAACAACGCACAGAAGAAATCTCTCACCGGCACCTTCTTGGAGGTCGAAATGTTATACTTGTTACACACTACAACGGCTACAAGGGACGAACAGAAGCTTTGCCTTTAAAAGCTGACACCAGCGCCAGGCCAGTGTCACACATATTGACCGAAGAGAATGAACCTGAAAACTCGCAAAGTAGTGTGCAGTACTCGTCAATGGACCAACCAGAAGTATTTCTGA